ACGTTTTCTTGCCACAAGTTTGCACAATCCCTGTGAATCTTTGCCAGGGAGTTCAATTTTGTATCTCAGGAGCATGCTCCCAAATGAATACACTCCCCTCATCCAATAATACGTCCCATCTCCTTTAAGTCAGTGCACTCAAAATCCATTCTGTGAGCACCTCCCCATATTCCTGTTTGTACATAGCAGCTGATTCTTGCTACTCTTTGGGCACAGTCCCTTTTCTTCCTTGTTATGCTCAGCATATTGGTAGCTAAATTATTCTACCATTTAACCTTAGTTATTGGCCTGGCAACCAGGAGATGAGGTAGGGATATTAATAAAGGTATCCCTGTTGCCCTGTGAGGGAGTGACCTCAGCTTTTCACAACTGTGGGAATGCTGGCTTTTAATAGGGAGAAAGGGCTGGGCACGGTGGCTCATGCCTGTAATCCCAGCACTTTGGGAGACCGAGGCAGGCGGATCATGAGGTCAGGAGATCAAGACCATCCTGGCTAACACGGTGAAACCCTGTCTCTACTAAAAATACATAAAAAGTAGCCAGGCATGGTGGCGGGTGCCCGTAGTCCCAGCTACTCCAGGGACTGAGGCAGGAGAATGGCATGAACCTTGGGAGATGGAGCTTGCAGTGAGCTGAGATTGCGCCACTGCACTCCAGCCTGGGCGACAGAGCAAGACTCTGTCTCAAAAAAAAAAAAAAAAAAAAAAAAAAAAAACAACAACAACAACAACAACAAAACAAAAAACAAAAGTAATTTTTAAATTTCCAAGTATTTAAGTATTTTTCCATTTATTTTCCTATTACTGATTTATAACTTAATTCCATGTAATCAAGGACCATATATTGTATGATTCCAATTCTTTAAAATTTATCTAGGTTTTTTTCTGACCCAGGACCGGCTATCTTGGTGACTAATCCATAAGTACTTAAGAGAATGTGTATTTTAGTATTTTGAGGTGAAGTGCTATGTGACTATCAATCTAATCTAGTTTGTTAATATGTTATACAGTTCTCTTACATCCTTACTAATTTTGTGTTCTTGTCCTATATTATTGAGAGAGAAGTGTTAAACTCTCCAACTATAATGGAGGCCCCAACTACAATTGTGGGTTTGTGGGTTTCTCTTTTCAGTTCTAACCATTTTTATTTCATATATGTTAAATTTCAGATGTTAGGTATGTACCCACTTAGAATTCTTATGTCTTCTTTTTTAAAAACTTTTTAAATTATACTTTAAGTTCTGGGATACATGTGCAGAACGTGCAGGTTTGTTACATAGGTATACATATGCCATGGTGGTTTGCTGCACCCATCAACCCGCCATCTACATTAGATATTTCTACTAATCCTATCCCTCCTCTAGCCCCCTACCCCGCTGACAAGCCCCAGTGTGTGATGTTCGCCTCCCTGTGTCCATATGTTCTCATTGTTCAACTCCCATTTATGAGCGAGAACATGCGGTGTTTGGTTTTCTGTTCTTATGTTAGTTTGCTAAGAATGATGGTTTCCAGCTTTATTCATGTCCCTGCAAAGGATAGGAACTCATCCTTTTATGGCTGCATAGTACTTCATGGTGTATATGTGCCACATTTTCTTTATCCAGTCTATCATTGATGAATATTTGGGTTGGTTCCAAGTCTTTGCTATTGTGAATAGTGCCACAA